AGCTTCCCCTTTTATTCTACAAAAGAGATAAACTATCCTACCCTAGCAATGCCAGATTAAGTAACCTGTGCACTAATCTCATTTGTTTAATCAAACAAAATGGAAAAGCTAATAGAAATATAAAATTAACTGAGGTATCTTTCCTTAGGGGTAAACTGTGAAAATGAGACTGATGAGTGTTTGTCGAAGCCTTGCCGAAACAATGCAACGTGTATTGATCAGGTGAACAATTTTAAGTGTGATTGCCAACCCGGGTTTGCAGGCAGAATCTGTGAAGTGGATATCAATGAGTGTTTGACTGACCCATGCACCAATAATGGAACTTGTTTGGACAAAGTTAATGACTATCAATGTATCTGCCAGGCAGGTTTGTGAAATGTTCTTTCTTTTTTCGTTTCTTCAACTTTCAAGATAAAATATCACCCTGAAAGTTATTTTTGGTAGATAGTGTTTTTGTATTACTGATTTTTCAAATTAAGAGGTATTTCTTTGTGATCTTTTAGGCTATGTTGTCAAAATTGATATATAGGAAGCCTTTTATGTCGTTTTGCTTTGAAATTAAGTTTGTGCCAATTAGTGTCCTAGTTTCCACTTCAACGTCCAAAACAAGCAATTTTCAATTCTGTTTTATTATCAATCCCATATTTTCACTATCAGTCCTTCATTTCTACATCCAAATATGCTCCTTATCGCATAAGGTTAAGGGTATACAGGATAAAATTGTTTGTGTACTATGCCTACTTGCACCCGCATTTGTAGGATTGTTTCGATGTAGAGTCGCTAGGCTAGATTTTGCTATCGAGATAAAATGTTAACGAACAGCTTCGTTGTTTTTCTTCAGGGTACACCGGGAAGAACTGTTCAATTGATATCGACGAGTGTGCCACAACACCTTGTAAAAACGGTGGATCCTGTACAGATCAAGTTAATAGCTTTGAGTGCACTTGTTTGGCTGGATATACAGGAAAACGATGTGAAATTGATATCAATGAATGCGCCTCAAGTCCTTGCAGAAATAACGCTACTTGTGTTGACCAGGTTCGTTGCTTTCGTATCGAGTATGATTGTTATAGATCATGTAGCGTGAGAATCAGTCATCATCACCAATCATCATTGTCAATCACCAACAACAAATCAATCATCAGGCATCAATCATTCTTCATCATCAATCATAAGCACTGTTGATTAGCTATGTACCCTATACTCAATATTGTAGGTCACTTGTAAGCTCTGCAATCAATTGTCTCTTTGCGTCTTATTAATGAAACAATTTCTCTCATTCTCTAGGTGAATTCATACAACTGTACTTGTCATCCTGGATTCTACGGCGATCATTGTGAAAATGAGACAAATGAATGCGTTCCAAATCCTTGTATCTATGGTGACTGCGTAGATTTAGTTGCTGACTACAGGTAAATGCACTGAAATCGTACCGTCATTAAAAGATAGTTTCTTAATAATGGCACCTTCATTTTTACTTCAGTACCAAGACGATGTCCGAAACAGCAGTGATTTTATTTTTTTAATTGTTAGCAGTGAAGTCTTTAAATTTTGCCAAGACCAGCGCAAGTGAAAGTGTGGTTTAGTCTCCTGTTTGCCGAACCTTGTTGTTGCCTCATAAGCAAAAGTCTAATTTTACTTTCATATATTTTTGTCGTTTTTACGAATACAGCTTATTCTTCAAGCTAACTGAATTATTTTGCTGAGATATGCTAATTGGTTATTGGTATACCATTTATTTGATAGATGTGATTGTATGGCTGGTTTCACTGGGAAAGACTGCGATCATAATATCGACGACTGCGCGTCACTTCCGTGTCAGAATTCTGGGAATTGTACGGATTTCGTTAATGGCTATAACTGCACATGTGCGCCAGGATATACAGGTGTAAACTGTGAGACTGACATCAATGAATGTAGTCCTGATCCATGCCGTGGAAATGCTTACAACTGCACAGATCTGATCAATGGATTTTACTGTAACTGCAAACCAGGGTATAGGTAGGTACTGTGTTTAGCAGCAAAAGTATATGAACTCGAGATTATATCAATGTTAAGTATATAAATGAACGCGGAATAACTGAAACTAAACCAGCAATTTGACTGCAAGGAGGCGCAGAGTTTGTCAACGTTATACCAAAAGGCACTGCTATCTTTATAAGATACTGTGTTCTACAGGGAAATAGATTGCTAAGACCTCATGATTGCTGCTTCCACCAAGAATTATTTTTCAATCATTCTATATTAGGTGTCAAATACAAGGAGAGGGACATATTCTTATACCTCCTTTTACTTGAGCTTCTGTTTGTCTGCTGTAGCTACTGGGCCTGCTAATAAAATGCCGTTTTCAAACGTTTGGTTATGACAGAAAAATCGATTTGAGTGCTTTTTCCATGACCTTTTACATCAAACTTATCCGGGTAGAGGTTTTAGTATGTTTAAATTCAGTTAAGTTTCGTATGTGAACATTCTGCGTCAAGTTGATTTATGTAATTGCTGCTTTCAGCTGAGAGTGAGTAGCGCTATATTGTTATCATCTCATAGCTATTGTCGTCAGATTGAATGCTTTATCTCTTACAGAGGACGATCATGCGAGATTGAGATAGACTACTGCACGCCAAATCCCTGTTTGTACAACAGTACATGCATGAATGTAAAAGATTCAGCCTCGTTCAAGTGTAATTGTACCGATGGATATATGGGTGACACTTGCGGAACCGAGATTAATGAGTGTGCGTCGAATCCATGCCAGAATGGAGGAACTTGCGTTGACCTGGTATAAATTATAGTAATTTTCCATTGAACATATATAGTATTCCAAGGAAGAACTGCTCTGAACATTCCATTTAAAACAGTTTTGATAAGTAATTGAATCGTAAGAAGTTCCAATTTTATTATTGACATGCAAACTATTTTAAATAGAAAGTGGTGATTTCAAATCAGCTTCATGCCTACAAAAGTCAAAGATCTCATTCAAAAAGCTATTTTTATATCTCCACAGGTTGCAGCATACACTTGTAACTGCACGCTAGGCTTTTCTGGTTTGAATTGTGAAATCAATATTGATGACTGCATTGTACGTAATGGCTCTCTTCCATGCCTTAATGGCGGTGTCTGCTTAGATGGCATCAACTCCTTCCGATGCCAATGCCCAATTACACATACTGGGCAAAGATGCCAGAAAGGTAATCCATCTTTTATATAATATGTTACTGCTGCTGTTGTTGTTGTTGCTTCTATTGTTGTTGTTGCTGCTGCTGTTATTATGCACTTCAATTGTGATACTTTTCGTCCCAATCGTCAAATCTTTTGCAAGTTTAGCAGTGCGTCATTTGTAACTTAGCAATGAAGATTTATTTTTTCTTGTGCGTTTTACTGTTTACTAAATGCTGCATTGTATTTAACACAGCGAAATCACCGAGGTTTGACCTTCGTTTTCATGGCGGAAGTGGCTCTTATTTGAGTTACATGAACTTCAGCAGTGTACCGGCGATTACAGTAGCAAGTTGGGTGCGTTTCCTCGGAAAGACCTCGGCTGGCACATTCTTAATGCTAACAAACATGGTCAACACATCATATCATGATATTTTGCTTGAAATCCAAGATAGATTCGTACGATTTACTCCATCGAATGGCAGTCGGGTGACTCATCCGTTTGCAAAGCCTTTGAATGACGGTCTATGGCACCACGTTATTGTATCAATTGAACCAACAAGTGGAAGCGTGCAAGTCTACAAGGATACAGAGTAAGTGTAGCTTGTACCAAACCAAGGTATTTTTGACATTGACCTCGCTTTAAACCTTTTTAAGCCGAAAGATTGTCATATATCTGAAGTATTATTTATTTTCAACTGTCAGCCCTAAGCTTTATCATACATCTTCTTTTCTTTTGAGATTCCTGATGGATAAGCCATCAACACTGCTCTTTTAAAAAAAGATGCAATCTCGGTTCACATGCCTTAGTTGTAAAACATTTTTTTATTTCAGGGTTGTTTTTAACTCGATTGAAAACGGCATGAAAAATAGAAAACTATTTGACCCAAAAGGCATGCTAATACTCGGTCAGGAAATGTCGAACATGGGGTCAGTTCTAAGCAACTCCTTTGCGGGTGAAATTGGCCAGGTTGGCATTTGGAATAGAGTCCTGAGCTCTGCTGAAAGATCTGCCTTGACAGCAAACTGTTCTTCAAATCTCACAAGTATGCCATTTTGCTATTCAAGTTAGTGTACAAGACGAATAGAAACTTGCAATCTGCTTTTTGTTCTCATATAACGATGGAGTGCTTTTTTAATTTTTCTTTTACCGTAATATATTTGACAATGGCTGAGTAAGTTAAAGGGTGTTTTTAGAGCTTTTTTAACACTATAATGCTGTTGGCATACGGCTGCATTGCTTTACAATATCTCACCAATCGTTTTGTCCCTGTTTTCTACGTAAAATCATCTTATTCGATTCTCTTCTCACTATCTTTCTTATGTTGTTTCCCCTGGATCTGTATCTACTATGCCGTGCACTTAGCATACGAATTGAATTTCATTTAAATGTTTTTTTGGATGATTCATATAAGGTCACATTTGTCAACTTTTAATATTTGTACTCATCCCCTTGGTGCCCTGATGAAGTTTTTCGATGTGCTTTCCACTCTAATTGCAGACACGCTGCGTTCGTGGATTCACCTCAATGGATTTAAAGGACCCAATGTTACGATCATGGAGCCAGCAACATGTGGTAGCAACACGTGTCCGCCATCTTTCATAGGCCAGTTCTGTGAGACTGAAATTGGTTAGTTTAACATATTTTGTACGAAATCGATTGAACAGGTAACTCTTGAAATCAGCAGAATCCGTTGGTTTGAAATCAGCCTCAAATAATTCTGGAATTGTCTCATGATGTTTCCCTCGACCATTTAGGTCATATGAAACGAAAGCAATTTTTACATTTTTTGTAGAGCTTCTTTCGCTTGTTAAGATGCTGTTTTCCGTCGTTTCTTTTTCCGCAGTGGACTTCTCAGTTTAAGCAGCCTGATCTTGTTCTGGAATTATTCATAATGTTTCTCTCGACCCCAGCATAGATCAATCTTTTTCTTTTCATTTCGATCTGAGGAGAGTGCTAATCGATGAATAAAGTTTTTATAAATATAATTAGTTTCCATTTAAATTAGTAATTGTGTTATATACTTTACAATAAGCTTTAACTGATTTATTTAAGTGTTTCAGAATTAGACCATTTCATTTACTTTGCACGAGAATATCATGGCTAAGAATGTACTCATTTCCAAAGTTGAAAAATCAAGTAATTTTCTTTGCTTCGACACAAATTTTAAGCCGTTTGATGACGACAGTTGAAATTATGCTGAATTATAAATCATTTGGGTTCTGTTTTTAAATATTTGTGTATAGAATTTAATTGATAGATAGAAAATCACGTTCTCATGCTTCTATGATGCTGTCTAGTCTTCCCATGTGCAAAAATAAAATAGGCTTAACTTCTTATTACCAAGATACACTGTGGGAAATTAAAGTTTGTAATCTCCACAACTGAGGAGTATTTATGGAATTTCTTGATTAACTTGAAGACTCGTAGCACCAAAAAAGGAAGTCACGCAACATGAACAGAAACAAACTCTAATACTAGAACTGCAAGCAATCAACAAGCATAAACAAGCATAAATAAGATGGATAACAAGCAGAAATTAAACGTAGATTGTGTTTCACTTATCTCGTTGACGAACGTTTGGTTTTTTTATCTACATTGCACGAAGGTTCTCTCAGTCTCTAAGCTGTCTCTAAGTTCCTGCTTAAACCGATTTAGTAACAATACAGCGATGAATAACTTCCCGACAATGAAATTTAATTTGTCTTTTTAGACAAGGAGCCACCAAAGGTCTCCAGGTGCCCAAATGTAACCCAAGTGGTAACACCAAACAGAGTTTCCGTTGTGACATGGACAGAGCCTATATTCAGTGACAATAAAGTGGTTGCTACCATCAGAGCTTCTCATCGCTCCGGATCTTTCATGGCTTGGGGAGATTACATTGTTACTTACGTTGCAAGCGATGCTTCTGGCAACTCTGCATCCTGCACGTTTGACCTTTACGTCATACGTAAGTTTACACAGTTGGCAATTACACATTTTACTGTTCAGAGGCCGTTTTGTTTCTTTTATTTTTATAGAGTTTTAAAATGTGATGTCACCAAAATCCTATTTCTAGAATATTGGAATTTTAACTATGTAACATAAAAATCCCCACCTAGTACTTCCAAATATGCAAAATCAGTCAAATTTGTCTAAAATTGGTTGAGATATTGCTAATCAAAAATTTTAAGTTTGCTAAAGAACCACTCTGCTAAAGAATCAAGAACCACTCATATTTGGGCTCGGTTTTTAAAGTTGGGAAAGAGCCAGTATAAATTTGGCCATATCTCAGCCAAATCGTAAATCATTTGACTGATTTTGCACCATTTGAAGTATTTCATGGTAATTTTTTTATGTTATGTGGTTAAAATTCTATAAGAAATATTCCATCGTACTCTTTCAGGTTTGGGAATCTAAATTCAAAATTTGTTATAAAAGATTTTATGACGTCTTCATTAGAATGAAGACGTCATAAAATTAGAACTCTTTTGGCTGCTTTTTTGTGATGTTGTTGTTGTTATAGTCGTTGTTGTTGTTCTGTTGCTGTTTTTTATGATAATGTTGGTCAGTGGCCTGCTGGGGATGAGATCGCAGGGAGAGGGGTGGGCGGGGCATTCAAAGAGTCAACATGGTGCCCCTCATTTAGCCATCTTAAATTTTCCTTCAAAATTTCGGAAATATGCCGAAAGGTAAAAGAGTTCGGAAGCACGCTGATCTAAACCTAGCACTGTAATCTTTCAATCTGTGGCATGCCCTAAGACTTCCGAATGAGAGGAGAGGCCTAGTCAATTACTGACAAGACGCTGTAGATTCTCTACCAGTACTTCAAATAGAGAATGCTAATTTTTGTAAAATCTAACAGTATTTTGTAGTATTGCTGTAGCGGCTGTATCACCATACTGCACAACAATAAAAGCCAGGGACGTCATTACTGAGGAAGGTTTGGAGTAGGAAGGGGGCGGTAAGACCGTGCAGGAGTTCAGAGAAGGCCGTGCTAGGGATGGTCAGAAAATGCACCCAAATATTGCATCCTGGAAAATACCCATAAGCTTTCTACAAAAGATGGCAAAAGGCCGTTGTGAGGCAGGCCTTGTTTGGGTTTACTACGAAATTGCCTTACAGAAAAAAATTACCTGAAATTTGTTAGTTGCTGACATCATCCTCCAAAATACATTGTGTCGATTAAAAAAGCCACTCTGCCTCCCTACCTCGGTACGCCCCTGGTATCCGATATGTACAAAAATCATTTAGATTTAGTGTGGTGTCTTGAGATGGTATTTGACCTTCGTTGTTAAGCGCATCAATGTTAGTAAGAAAAAAAAGCGGTATGTTGCAAGATTCTTGTTCTCTTCGAACCGACTTATCGTGGATTTTTATACAATGTCCGCCTTTAGTATTGTAGAGTACTTTTATGTAAATTGTCCTTTCCTGTTAGCTTTCTGGCTAGAGTGCTTTCGACGCCCCTATAAGTTGAAAATTCATTTTGGCGCCCCTTATATTTGATCAGCAGCCCTCATTGCCCCCCTCCCCGCCATCAATCCACTGACATTGCTGCCATGTAAAGTTGGTGATGAAAAAAAGTTCAGCTTTTTGTTTTGATAACTTTTTTGACACTTGTGCAATGATAACTTTTTTATCATACAAATGAATTTAACATCCTTTTTAACTATATTTCAGGTTTCAACTGTCCACCCTTAAATCCCCCGCTTAACGGTGCTGCATTTTGTGGAAGCTGGGATTATGGAAAATTTTGTGATGCAAAATGTCATCCAAGCCACGCATTTGCAGTGCGTTACCCGCCATACTATTCTTGTGGGCAAAGTGGAACATGGAGTCATGGCCCACCGTCATACCCAGATAACCCTCAGAATTTACTACCTACCTGCGCAGGTGAGTATTTCAATTGCTTTCAGGGATAGCTGTCGTTAAACAAAGAATACATGGGTTCGGGCAAACTCAAATTCACTAGAAATCCCGCTCGTCCTTCCGCAGAAATTCCACTGTAACCCTCGTTACCTCTATTGTTGAAATCCGTAGCTGAAGCTCTCACTTCAAATTGAAAAGACCATAGCTGATATCCCTGGGAAATAAGTAATTTTTAATACTTATGTGCCTTCTGATCTTTGATCCGCTTTATGACTTCTTAGAAAATTTTGCTTAGTCATTAGTAATATTTGAATTGTGCTTCTTAAACAGCAACTGCATCTGCAGCAACAACAACGGCCAATCGAGTAACCTATTCAGCCAGCTCATGTACTGCACAATTCATTGCACAATTCCGAAGAGAATTTGAAGCCAAAATCCAAACGATTCAGAAATATTTCCCTATTTGTGGATTTAGCTGCGACTTCAGTCAAATAAGCATCAAATGTGACAGTGTATCGAGACGACGAAGAAGCACGGGTGGCTCGGTTGCAACAATTACAGCAGACTTCCCGGTAAACACCACCAGTGGAGAGAACTACACACAGCAAGTTCAGAGTGGTCTTAAAAACGGGCAGTTTAACATGACGATATCGGTCAATGACGTCACCATCAATTCCACAAACAACGACCTCGAAACAACTGTGTCTATAAAGTGTCCCCAGGGAAGCATCCTCCAGTCTCAGAATAAAAAATGCAGTGAGTATTCCATTATTGATTTAGATACGGACATAGCGAATTTTGGCTAGGAAATTAAATTTTTGGATTTCGTTTTCGCAACAGAGCCGTCCTTCACACTAGACTTCAGATTAGATTATTGCGTTCCTGATAGTATTTTGATTGTGTTCCAGATCGTTTTATTTTGAAGATAGAAACAAATTGCAAAAAGTGTTTCTTTCGCTAACTCACCATGAATCTTCTTCCAAAGAACTTTTTAACTCGTCACTTAATTTTATACCGATGTTTATGAATTCGCTGTTATGCGTGACCTTAGTTACCCTGGGTACCAGACTCACTTTCATATAAAGTAAGAGAGTCTGGCTCAGTGCGCCCGGACCTCGTTCCGGTGGACTTATTTGAAAGAACTTTAGTAAATTTAACAGAGTGGAAACTAGGTCTGTGAAACCAGATTGTCGGATTAATAGACGAGGCGGAGAATAGGGAAATGGTAGCCCGGGAGCGAAGTAAATGGGACCATGTGCTTTTGGTCAATTCCAGGGTGCTGATTTCGAAAACCGATGTTATACGGGGATATTTGGGAGCTATCAGCTTCATTATAGTGTTTGAAGTCTCGTTTTTGCATATATAAAAGTAATCAATTGAAAAACAGTTCAAATGGAAATAAGTCAGTCTTAAAGTTAATTAAGCATATTTCTTGCGCATAAATTGTCATGTGTTCGTGAATTTCTCAAAACTTTGAGCCTTGGGATCCTTATTTAATTTATGCTGTTAGAAAAGTATGTTGTTAGTTAAGTTTCCTTATCCTAAAACTTAATATGAGGAAAATACATCTTCAAGCGACTGATCTCTCAAATAGCTCCATTTGATCTCATTTGTAGAAGCAAAAACTTCGATTCTGAGATCATAGAAAAATTTGACTGAAAATTATTGGGCGTGTTCATATAGACGTAGTCGAAACTTGTGAATGCTAGATTTTTTCTGTGTCTGCCCCGTGAATTTACTACCTACAATAAGTTTGTGTTTCAGAAATCAGAGTAAGGCGCTTATTGTTGGGCGTAGTCAACAGGGCGTGGCATGCTCCTATCTTAGCCTGATTGTCCCTCCAAACCTGGCTTTGCCACTGGCTCCAAGGATCAGGGAGCAGTGTCATACATATTCTTAGTGTGGATACATTTGAGAAAATAGTATCAAGCTTTTGAAGTTAATCACTATTTTTCATGATAAGGACATCTTTGACCACATTTTTGTCTTTTTTTAAGCAACAGCCAGTTTTTGAAATGACTCAGTCTAGTCTCAAATTGTCAACTGTCAATTATTTGCAAACTGTACCTCAGCATTTCAAAAGATGCTATCAGTTTTTTGTCAAAAATCAGTGAATACCATTAATTGTCTAGGTTTTGTACCATTAAACTATTTTTCTCCTTTTTGTTAGTTATTTGCCCAGCTGGAACATACCACAATGTGACAGGCAATGAATGTATCGATTGTCCCATTGGCTTATATCAACAAATGGATGGTTGGACCAACTGTACAGCGTGTCCTTCTGGAACTACAACATTCAATGTTGCTTCCAATCACAGCTCTGCCTGTAAAGGTTTGTGTCCCATTTTTATCGTGAATAATTAAATTTGAAGCACTATTTTTTGACATATGCTCAACTTTCTTTCAATATTTCCTTTCTCCATAATTTTTTTATTAGTTTCTCATGGTTCTTTAATTCGACATGATGCTATATGTAGAGTATACACTCTAAAATTGTATACTTACGTTCTTACAATCCTTAATAATTCTTATTAACAGATTTCCATAGAATTATATTATAATAATGGTACTTCTTGCCACTGAGCTGCTACTCTTCCTACATTCATGGTCCCATCTCGAAACCAGTTATTTTTCACTTTTTCTTATCGTTTGTTTAATCTGTAGAAATCTGTACCGCTGGAAGTTTCTTTAGCATGACTGCAGACAGGTGTCAGCTTTGTCCTGAGGGATTCTACCAGGAAAATACTGGCAAAATGCAATGTGATTATTGCCCTAGTGGAAGGTCTTCTAGTCTTGGAGCCAAAAATGTTTCTGAATGTGTAGGCAAGTACAAATTAATATATTTCTGAATGTGTAGGTCTTTTTTGTTTAAGTCAAACAAATGATAGCTTAGTTTGTTACCCTTTTAGCAGTGATATCTGTAATAAATATTGAATATTTCTTTTAAATGAAAGTTCTGCGATTAAGGAAGTTTATTATGATAACTATGATATTGAGATGACAGTTTCTTACCGAGCAGTGCACAGTAAAAAGTTTGTTCTTTGTGCAATATAGTGTTTTCGGAACGTGTGCATCAAACAAAGACAAACTTATAGCAAAGTTGAGACGGCTGCTTTAAAGTGGTTACCGTCATATTTTGACTAAGCCTACCTCCCAAGGGGGGGGGGGGGATTCAACGGCATAAATATCTCTCGAAAAGCAAACTTTATATTCAAAATTAGATATGGTCAATAAAAGATTTAAAGTTTGCTACCGAATCACTATTATTCTGGCCTGGTTCATAAAGTTTTGAACCAAGGCCTTTAAAGAGCCTCTCCAGCCAAAAAAAAATCTGGTCCGTGTATTATGGCAAAGTCGTTGTTTTTGCAAATATCAATTAGTTTAGAAGTTATAAGGCTTTAAAGTTGCACCTTTCCGAGAAAAAACAACAAAAGCCGAATCAGTTTTGTGACATTCTGACGTCACAATGTGCGGCTCTCGTTCGCCATGAATTTCGTATATCTTCCAGCGAATCGTGAAGAAGTCATGGTCACGCGTTGATAACGGCATCTAAATCTACAGCAGAAGCTTCTTAGGATCGAAAAATATTTAATGTTTACAATCATTCTAAGTTTGCGAGTCGGAATGTGTCCATGCTGTGTCACGACTTTGTTTCGATCACATGTTTAGGCCCACAATGCTACGGCTTCCTGTTCAAGCTCTTCCCTCGCGTATAATTAATCGAAATTGACACTTCAGTTCTTCTCCAGAAACGATGAAAAACTAAAGGCTTCAGAATTGATATCTGAAATGCTCAAACTAAATGCCGGTAAAACAGAACTGAGAGTACCTTCACTTGCAGTGTTCAATTGCGAATCGCCGTCGTTCGATTCGGTTTGAGGCGAGACTAACGAAAAACAATGTGACGTCAAAATTGCGTCAAAGTGTCACCAAACCGAAAAAATTTTGTCAGTTAGTTCAATTCAATTATCGAAATGCAAGAGCTTATATCTCACAAACTGTAAAAAATATCGAAAAACAAATAACGAATTCGTGATCAGGTGGTTCAACTCCCTTAGATTAGCCAATAAAATGCAAGTGCAAAATTTGGCTGGAGAGGCCCTTTTAGAAGTCACAGGGCCAATAAGCGGCCTCTATCTACCATGAATTTTTAGCTGTTTTGCCCTACCTGAGGGATTGAAACTTCAATCATGGCGTCGCGAACTCCGAGATGGTCCATTCCTATTTTTTCAGGTTAGGCTATTAATTATAATTAGCTAATCAGTGCATCTTATCGTACAGTGAAATGTGGCCTAGGCTCTGAGTTGATAACTGGTGATGCATGCCAGTTGTGTCCTCGTGGAAGCTACAGGGACGCTGCGAATCAAACGAGCTGTGTTCCTTGCCTGGTGACTGGAGAAGTTGCAAAAACAACATACATTCTAGGAGCTAAAAGTTCTTCATCTTGCAAAGGTATTGATGTTATATAATTTCTTCATCATAATCATTATGATATTTAATGCATTCCATGAATTTTTTATTTCTGCTATCCTAGCAAGCCTTAAGCAAGCTATCACAAATCTTTTCTGTTTATACGTTGTAGCTGTTTGTCCACGTGGAAAAGAAGTATCGAAAGATGGCATGAAATGTATGGCTTGCCAAACTGGCTTTTTTAGGGAGGATTTGCTTTTGCCACATTGTATTACCTGTACAAGTGGAAGAACAACTAAAATGCCAGGAAGTGTTTCATCCAGCAACTGCATCTGTAAGTATGTTATGAAACAAATAGTTTCAGTAAATGTTTTATCTACTTTTCTACATATATATTCCACTCAAAAGTTACACTTACATTTTATAAAAGACACTGCATACAACATTAAGCTGCTATATCGTTATTCTTAATTGAATTGAATTTATATTGAATTGAATTGATTCTCGTCTTCAAAGTTTGCTACAAGAACAAAGTGATAGCAAAACGATACAATACAACTGGACGTTTCTGGCCAAGTCAAAATTTATCTTGATGTGATTAATTATTATAGTTATAATGACAAGAATGATAATTACTGGTTTGATTTGAATTGGTACAGCTCTGCAAAGCACAAAGAAGGAAAGTGTAGGAATCCGGTTCACAGTAGAAGTTTGGAATTCCAAGCTGTCGGATGTCAACAGTTCAGAATTCAGAATTTTGATATCAAAGATTTCCAAAGAAGTGAGTATACAAATTAATTGCTTTAACCTTACAGAGCTTGTTATATTATTAAAAACCTGAGTCTTGCTGGTTTAATGCAATGGCTGTAATTACACACGAAACAACTGATCTCTCCTATCTGGCTAGACCTGTGAAACCCTTCTAAAAGCAGAGGAGTTTTTCACAAATGCAAGAACTTAATACACTTTCAATTAAACTTAAATACGGTCATAATCAGTTCTGTGCATTCAGCATGTTCAGTGCATCACAGATGGAAAGATCTCCCTAAAGATAATGTCCTGTGAACTATATTCTGCCAGCGATACAATTTGGCTTATATCATCGACAATACAAGACATCTCAATTGTAAGTCCGACATCATATATTGACTTCATAAGCCTATGATATCTTAATTCTAGGTAGAGAAAATATATGCCGCCGAAGAAGGCTTCTTGTCTGTCAAAATCAACCAGTTCAGGTATGTTCTGCTGCTGTTAATCCCTTACACGCAATATAACCACAATACGACCAGAATATGACCACAATACGACCACAATATTACCGCAATACGACTACAGTACGTCTACAATACGACTACAACATGACTACGATACGACTACGATACGACTTCTATATTGCTTCGTAAATTTGAAGATTTAAATGAATTATCAATATTATCTTTTGTCTGAATTGTTATAAAGCGTTCTTTTACCTTCGTTGTTGTGTCGTGAATGCTGGACAAGCAGCAACGTGATTGGCAATACTGCTAGCCTTTTACTTCAAAGGAACTTGAAGCTTCTTAAGTATTGCGTTGAATTACAGCTGAAAATTGATGAAATGGTAGGGTTGTTAATTTCCAATTAGCTGCTGATTTATACGAAACATTTGTATCATTTAACATAAAGAAGAGACAGCAATTTTGTGCATAGGTATCGAAGTTTATTGAATCAAAGGATACCGATCGTTTCAATTTTCATCGTTGATATATCACGTGAATGACTTAAATATACAAACGTTGATAAAACGTCGCTTCAAGTATAACTTAAAAATGGTTGCAGCGCTATTTAATGTCCCTTGTTGTCAACAGGAATGGAAGTGTCATAGCCTTTGCTGATTTGGTCTTCTCTACATTAGTGTCCGACCCTCTGGGCAAGCTCAGAAATGCCATCGCATCCGGTTCTGTTGGATCTCTGTCAGTTGATTCTTCATACACAATCGTTGGTAAGGTCCTTTCCTTTAACCCCCAGTATCAAGTTTTATTTCAATTTAATAATTAAGCCTGATTTGCCAGCCAGCTATTTGTATCTCTCTTAAGCTTTTAGCTATACCTGTAAATAATGTAAAGCTTTCGACTCTCTATGATCGGAAAGTGTATTCTATTAAGAGAAAATCTGTTATAATCACTGTTTTTCTTAAGCTTGGTTTTTTATCACAGAAGGTGTATTGGTTCCTTCTGGGTTTCTGGGGTTTTTATCACAGAAGTATATCTCTTTTGCACGTTAATTTTTTGTCTCAATTTGCCTCAACAGACCACTGTAGACTGGTTGGCAATTGTGGCGCGAAGCAGGAGTGCAAAAGCAATGCCACCCACGGATACTGTGCCTGTATTCAAGGTTACTACAGGCCGTCTTCAGTATCAACCTGCGAGGTCGACTGCAGTCCCTCATTCTGCTTAAACAGCGGCAAATGTGAGCGTGGACCAAACTACAGGGTTTGCAGGTGTGCCAGTGGCTACTCAGGCAACAGATGTGAAAAAGAGGGTAACAACATTGGTCTGATTGTAGGCTTATCAGTAGCAGGCTTGCTTTTAATTATCATCATTGGAATTATCGTATTTATCGTATGGAAGAAAAATCAACGGAAGAACCATGTCGGTACAGGGATCCAGCTTGATGACACAGCAAGAGCGAAAAATTTATCTGACAATCCTTTGAAGGCAGTTACGAATCCAAGTGCTTATGGTGAAGTGCCTCATTCAAACAACAGCACCCAATCTTCGGTGCGAGCATTCTCCAACAAGGTAGCCGTTGACAGTGAACATGCCGAGGAACAGGGTGCTGTTTGATGGTTCTACAGACTTTCCAATTATCTAAATACCAACTACTGTCAGAAGGAAATCATTGATTTATAAATTGTTATTTTGTTTTCAAACAGGTTTGGTTTATGTTTTCTAACAATTGATTACTTCTTTGATCTAAGATCATGGTGTGACATTTTTTTATTGTACGTTTCCACGTTGTAATCTCCTTACTAGATGTTTTCTACATTTTTAGCTTTTGGCTAATAAACTGTTCAGTGGTTAGATATTCCTCTTGTTTTTTTATTGGAGTTCCTAATACCTGCAAAAAACCGATCAGAAAGTCCAAGGTGCGTTAGGGAGATTTGATCTATCAAAGAGTGATTGTGTTGAACAATTTCTGCAATTCCTTCACAAAACAATTTAATAATCTGCGGGAAAAGGAACCGAAGACAGGTTTTGTCCGTTGTTTCCTCCCACGTGTACCTGGGGCTAAGTCACGTTCTCAAACCTGCGTAACTCGGAAAAGTGTAGCCGGATTAT